TGAGACTTCGTCAACTAAACACAACCAGAGGAAAAACGAAGTTACGTGACTTTTATTATTTTGTCATAAGTGTTGTTTAAACTATCCGTGTCTTTCTGTAGGTTGATTAGATTATTAAATCTCTTGATAAAGAACTCTCAGCGATCTCTCTTTTTCGAACACACTTTTCGCTATGCAAAATATTGGGTTTCGACCAGTCAAAATCATGTCTCGATTCTAATCTATGTTTGCTGATGACTGAGTGATTAGTTTCATGTAACTTTATACAATATTATTACAATGTTCTTTCACTCGCGTACGTAAATGTCTTTTTGTTTGCCCAATGTATGATAAATTACAATCTTTACAATTTAATTTGTATACAACACTTGTCTTGTCATTATTATGTAAGCTATCTTTACCGCACTAATTAAATTATTTAGTTTTTTTGTTATTTTATAGACGACGTTAAAACCACTATTTCGTAAAAGACGGTACAGATCATGACTCGTATTCTCTACGTATGGTATTGTAATGAAATGAGTCTTGTCTGAACGAATAAGATTCACGTCAACAGTATCATTACGGTCGCGATTATTTAAAAAATTAATTCTTTTTTGAATATGTCTATGGATGATATGTTCTGGGAAACAATTATTGATTAAGGTGTCATATACTAGCTTGATATTTCCTTGTTTGAAGCAGTCATTAGATAATAAAATAGCATGGTCAACTAAATTATAGATAGTGTTAATTTTGTATTTATGCGGGTGGTTAGAATAATAATTAATGTACCTCCCAGATCATGTAGGTTTCCTAAACCAATTGGTAATAAGTCTAGTTCCTGACCGAATGACTTTTACATTTAAAAAACTAATCGACGAATCAATCTCCATCTCGTAAGTAAATCGCAAGCGTTCGTGGTAGTTATTAAAATTAGTTAACATTTCGTCAATTCTTGTGCGTGGCACTATCGCAAAAACATCGTCCACAAATCTATAATAAATAGGAACGGCAAAATTCAATGAATTTAAGCATTGTGTCTCCAAATCGTCCATCACCATATCTGCTAAAATAGGTGAAAGCGGAGAACCCATGGGAGTGCCGAAGATCTGTTCATAAAAACGTCCGTTAAACGAAAAACAAGTTGAATCGAAAATCGCTTCTATTGCATATAAAAATTGAGATAAGTTAAATTTTGTGTTTTTTGCAATATTATCCCAACTATTCTTATGGCATTTACAACTAACTCTTTTGGGACGTTTGTAAATAGCGAAGTTACATCCAACGAGATCATGATGTTGTCATCATTAATAGTTGTATTTTTGATATTCTCGACGAAGGACCAACCATCTTTAATGAATGAATTTGGTTTCTTTATCGATTTATACAGAATACTTTGGATGTAACTGGAGATATTATATACCGGGTTTCCCAGAGCAGATATGATAATTCTCAACGGAAAACCTTCTTTATGGATCTTCGGCAGACCGTAACAACGCGGTAAATTTTCGTTCGTACAATTTAAGTTTTTATATGTCAACTCATTAATCAAATTATTCTTGCGCCATAATTTGACCAACTCATTGATCTTATTTGTCAGTCTTTTCAGAGGATCCTTATTTAATTCTTTATATGTGGTTTGGTCACCCAACAGCAAGTCCATCTTGTCAAAATAATCTTTTTTGTCCATAACGACATTAATCTGACCCTTGTCGGCTCTCGTTACCATAATATCATTATTATTTTCGCGTAAATACCTCCTGGAGACAGCGAACGAGTTGAGGATACATCTGTCTGAATAATTAATATGTTTCTCGGTACAAAGAAATCTTTGAAGGATATTAACCACGTAAATCCTAGTTGTTTCAATAACGTCAGTGGGCAGAATATTGCTATTCACTTCAAAGCTCTTGACCACGTCCAAAACATAATTAATGCGATCATTTTTTAAATTCTGTTCTATAGGCAACGCAAAATTTTCATCAAAAAATCAGAAACTGTGTCAGGTATGTCCTTGCTGCTGATGTTAACAAATCACTTAGACTTGTCAATGTTTGAAAAAGAATGTAAACAAGTGTTGTATTTTTGTTTCAAATTGTTGAACTTCTTAATTGAGTTGTTTTTTATGCTATAGTCAAATGATGTAAGTCTATGTCTATTTAATTCAAAAAAAGTAGTCACTAAATCATGTGGTAAGCATTCAAAAAGTCGTTTTTCGATGTTTTTAATTTTGTTATGTAGATAATTTAAATTAATGTTTTGATCTTCAATCTCAAAGCTCAATAACTTGTATTGATACGCTTTCTTAAAATTATCTTTAACTTAACTTTCGTTTAATGCTGTTGCTATGACGCTAATTTTTATGTTATTAATATGTGTAGGAATCAAGTCGTGTCTTCTGCAACGAATCAAGAAGATCAATTGTTATTTCGAAGTATAGATCTTCTGTTTGCACTTTATTCATGATTTCAAAAGCGTTGTACAGTTATCATCAAACCGTTGAGAGACATGTTGGAAGAAGTCAGTACGAATTAGCTCCATAATTAGGTCCAGGAGCGAAATTAAAAATAATAAAAGCAATTTTTGCGATAGTGCCACGCACAAGAATTGACGAAATGTTAACTAATTTTAATAACTACCACGAACACTTGAAATTTACATACGAGATGGAGATTGATTCGTCGATTAGTTTTTTAAATGTAAAAGTCATTCGGTCGGGAACTAGACTTATTACCAATTGGTTTAGGAAACCTACATGATCTGGGAGGTACATTAATTATTATTCTAACCACCCGCATAAATACAAAATTAACACTATCTATAATTTAGTTGACCATGCTATTTTATTATCTAATGACTGCTTCAAACAAGGAAATATCAAGCTAGTATATGACACCTTAATCAATAATTGTTTCCCAGAACATATCATCCATAGACATATTCAAAAAAGAATTAATTTTTTAAATAATCGCGACCGTAATGATACTGTTGACGTGAATCTTATTCGTTCAGACAAGACTCATTTCATTACAATACCATACGTAGAGAATACGAGTCATGATCTGTACCGTCTTTTACGAAATAGTGGTTTTAACGTCGTCTATAAAATAACAAAAAAACTAAATAATTTAATTAGTGTGGTAAAGATAGCTTACATAATAATGACAAGACAAGTGTTGTATACAAATTAAATTGTAAAGATTGTAATTTATCATACATTGAGCAAACAAAAAGACATTTACGTACGCGAGTGAAAGAACATTGTAATAATATAAAGTTGCATGAAACTAATCACTCGGTCATTAGCAAACATAGATTAGAATCCGGACATGATTTTGATTGGTCGAAACCCAATATTTTGCAAAGTATGTTCGAAAAGTATGTTCGAAAAAGAGAGATCGCTGAGATGTTTTTTATCAAGAGATTTAATAATCTAATCAACCTACAAAAAGACACGGATAGTTTAAACAACATTTATGACAAAATAATAAAGGTCACGTAGTTTCATTTTTCCTCTGGTGTGTTTAGTTTCTTGACGAAGTCTCACACGGACGCATCAGTTTCTCTCAAATTCGAATCTAACTAAATAACGTTTTTTTGTTAATGTGACTTGTGCAATTTTGCAAGATTATCGTCTATGCCTGTCTCCTGATTATTATTACATCGGTAAAATTGTTCACACTTTATTTCGTTGTGCTTGTTATATTATTCAAACCGAAAAGTAATTGTTAAATTTATTTATAAATCTTTCCAGTATATATTTGATAAGGACCACAACCATATGGTCGAAACATCGTATTAATAAACAAAATTTCTGGCTAGTTTGGTCGACTACACTTTTTTCAACGATCCTTGAGTTATTATAAGAATTTCGAGTTAATCTTATAATCTTATAATCTCATAAATATAAAATAACTAATTATATTTTTTACTTATGATCTTAATTATAAAACCACGTAAAATTATAGAAAAATTACAAATTTATAAATCTTTAATAGAACATTATTTTTTCAGATAAACGGTAATAAACGTACCCCATAGACGGTGATACACTTAAATGGATAATATAATTTTGCAATTTGATAATCTCATCAAATTTAATTATGCCATTTTCCCACATTGTTAAGTCAAACTTTATAATATAAAAGTGGGTAAAATCATTACAGGTGAAATATAGATTTCTTACTACTCAGTCAATGCAGAGATTACGTAGAATACCATGAAAGGTAGCTATTTTTGTGATATTATTTTCATTAATCTTCAATGTCATTAGGTCTTTTCCGTTACTCTAATAAATTCTATGTTCTTGTATCAATAAACGACATTGTTGATGACACTTAATGAAAAAGATCTGAAAAAAGGAGCCAACTATAATTCTATAGTAAAAAATTATACTTGAGGTTTCTAATTTTACAGTTATTACTACTATAATCATTACTACTATAATGTTGATAATAATAAACTTGTGCATAATAATAATAATTTAACTTTATAAGTAAAAATAATTTATGACAATTAGAACTATTTTTTATCAGTATACATACCCTGGTATTACGAAATTAGTAATATTTAAATTAATAATGTTTAAATCCATGTCCAATATTTCCATACGTTCAAACATTACAAGTAATGTTATAGGTAATGAATTTTTATGTGTAGTCGACACATTGATTAAATCCGTGTAAGGACCTACAACAATTTTAGTATGCGCACGTACTTGAAAATAATATGTCATGTTAGATGTTAGGTTGTGCATCGTGTGCTCCAATTTTGTAGTTGTGATATTTTTATCGTCGCAGGTTTCTTTAAAATCCTTGAAGAAAGAACACTGCACTTGATACCCTTGTATTATTTCATCAGTAAAGTTAGGTTGGTTCCATCTGTAAAAGGATAACATTTCAATCTTTTTATATTTAGTAAAATTATAACAGATTTAACGTTTTTATGTGTATATGTCGTTGAATTTAAGAAAAAGAGACAAAAATGAAAGATACAAACTGAGAATTTAGATTCTTTACCTCAATGTCACAAAAATGTCGTTTACTTTTTCTGTGAATTGACTGTCGAATTGTACAAATGCTCTGAGAGATGTTGGCTTGTTCAAACCGCCTTCTAGAGATTTTGAGATCGTACATATTAACATAATTATATATAAAATTTAGTGGATTATCTCAGTATATCAGAAAGAACAATTCAATGTAAAAATAGAGGAAAGAGAAAATATAAATGTACTCTACAAAATATGAAAATTAGCACAGTATTGAGTTTTAAAAAAATAATATAATAATTTAAGATTTAGAAAAGTTATTGTTAATAGATGACAAAAATGAATAAATAACTTTTAATAAGATGCCAAGTATTTTTCGATAAATTACTATAGCTTAAGAAATCAAAAGTATAATATTTGCGACTGCTTCAAAACAAAGTAGCAAATTAATCAAATTGATTTTACCTTAAATCATGACAATTTTTATGTACCATGTTATGTTTATATTATGCCTTTCTATTTTTTTTTTGGATGGAATAGAATTTATATTCTTCTCACTACTAAACGATATTTTTAAATTTGATTTCCACTTTTTCTTGAATTTAAATTATATTTATACTTTTTCGTCAGAGATTTTGTTATTAATGTTTTATCCATTTTTCTGCAACTTACCGATAGATTCTGGGATGGTAGAAATATTTGCAAGTGTAACTTCATCGACTTCTCGCTCATTTCTTCCAGTATTATCAGAATGACTCCGGTCAGATTTGAAATTTAGCATATAATGATCACTTTTCTCGGATATTGAAATATCCTTCATAAAATATAACACACGAAAAAAATTAGGTGAATATCGTTGAAGCGTTTCCGATGCTTTTAATGTTAAATTATATAAATTATAAAATTAAACGAAAAATTGCCATTCGTTTTTTGTTTGCTTAATAATACCGGTTTAATATATACCATTCCTAAATGAAATAAATTAAATGTGATGTAGTTTCATTCATATCGTAAAATCTATTTTTTATTTTTTTTTCAGGCATCTTGTATATCAAACATAACTCAAAAATAAAATGTCAAAAATAAAATTAATCAATAGGTTAACGAGAGTTAATAAAGATTCATAACAGCTTTTAGCAAGCGAAAGTGATGCTGTTTGCAATTATTAAAACAATTTTGTTTAACAATTTGATTCTTTCTCACGATAGATTAGTTAACTCTTCTCAATTTTACTAACTCAAATTTCTTTTCAAAAGTTTGCCGATATTACTAAAGTTTTATTAATGTTTGTACTTCAAGAATTAGAAGGTTAAAAATATTGTTTCTTTACAGTTATTAAGTATTAGTCTTAGAAATTATATAAATTCTTTATTTTTAACCTTGTCAAGTATTTTCTCTATTGTCATTATATTTTTAACACAAACAAATCCTGGAAATGATAGAATGAAACGATAGTAGATAAACCGATAATGCCTCTATAAAAATATGTGGACATAATTGTATATAAATGAATATATACACAATGAAAGTTAATATAAATTCTAGTGATTGTTATTGAATATATTGTCGATCGAAATATTAGCGTTAATAGATACAACTTGAATAATGTTTGATGAATAATTTTTTTATTAGACAGATTTTCTATCTCGATAGTAGTTCTGTACCGTTATATAATTATTCTTAACGCAAAGAAATGATGCTATCTTTCTAAATTAATTTTATAAAATAAAATTTACATTAGTAAAGCTTACTGTATCAATAAATATTATTATATATATCTAGGAAAATAAAGAAATTTTAAAAATTAAAGAAAAATAACATAAAAATCTGTTAAAGTGCTATCGTATGTATATAATAATGTAGATAGTACAGAATATAATAAAAGATAATAGACAGAAAACTTCATTAATTTTAAAAATTGTTATTTTTATTCTGTTATATTATATATATTTAATAACATATATACTTACTTTATGAACATAATTAACTTCTTTGTAATTATTTTTTCTTATTAATTTATCAATTCTTTGTATTGCACTGTCAATATAACCTTCGCGATGTCAAATGACAAATAACACTCAAATGACATGAAACATGCAAAACCAATCAGAGCGACGGAAAAGAAACAACAATACATTTCGAGATTTTCGAGATAAACCGATACATTCGAGAATCGACTTAATGCCTTTTTTAGAATAGGATTCATTTTTAGTTAAACTATTAACTGCAATAACATTCAATTGGTTTAATCAAGCGAAAAATATCTCTTACCTGCGTGTAATTTAAATCCGGACACATGGAAACACTTTCTTCCTGGAAGATGTTTGAAGTGGTATAATCCTTCAGCGTGATAGTTGCCTTTGTCAATACTAAACCTTTCATTGAAACACATAAAATTGTTCCAAACATAATTTGCATTTTTTGTAAACGTTTGCACTCAATCAATTTCCATTGAATCCTGAATTAGACCTGTTTTTTTCACTCTACTAATTCTGATGTGTTAATTGAATTGATATTAATTCATATACATACGTATATTTTCGATAAATTCCTTAAAACTCAGTTTGAATCAAACGATAAGTAACGCGATAGTGCGTTTCGGCTAGCAGTCGTAATAGTAGCTGACTTAGAATGATCAATCTTATCACGTGGTGCCACGACGTTTTATTAGCTACTTCCGTTATAATTTATTTTTTTCCACGGAGATACTCGCATTATTTTAAAAAGAATTAAAATCTTTAAAAATTGTTTCTCAAAAAAGTTATATATAAAACAAAAATAGTTCTATGTATAAATAAAAATTATTATATGTATATATAATTGTTTAATTAATTTTATTATAAACATTTTATATTAATTTATTAAGTATCTTCCCTTTGACAAGAAGCACGTTTAATATAAAAAGATATTCTGATTGTAAGAAAAATAATAATGGATTTTAAAAAAGAATGATTTATACGTTTTATGTATATTTACATAATACAGTTTGAATGAAACGATACGCCGTACTACTTTTGTATTAATACAAATAAGTAAAAATTTACAGTAGCACATACATAACTAAAATAAATAATATAATTAATTGTATGAGCCATTATTATCATTATTTGCATTGAATAACCTTATAATATAATATATATTATATATATATATATATATATATATATATATATATATATACGATATATATATATATATATATAGAACTTATATAATATAACTTTAATTAATATTAACTTAATATAATATACTTAATATATATAATATAATATAATAAAAAATTTTTTAATATTAATTACTTTATTATTTTAATTCTACTATTGTAATTTTATATACAACAGTGTTTATTATGCACCAGTGTGCATTAGTGTATCCAATCAAATTCCCTCTTTCTCCCGCTATAAATCAATTACTTTATTTCCAAAAAATGTGTAACAATAAACACTTTAATTACGTGAAATATAATTGACTCTATATTGGTAAAGAGACATTTTGCATAAAAATATTTTAAAAAATATAAACATTAATATAACGGTCTCTTTTTAAATTCATGCATAATAATAGATGTATTTTCAAACATTTTACAAATTTATAGAAACTTTTTACTCATCAACAAAGATATACGAGGGTAGTTCGAAAAGTTCTCGGCCTGGCAAAGAAAACACATGATTTCCAGCAAAAATCTTTTTTATTTTTCAACATAGTCCCCTTTCAACTCAATACATTTAGACCAACGATGTTCTAATTTTTTTATACCCTCAGTATAATACGATTTGCTTAAGCCTCCAAAATAAGCATCCGTCTCAGCGATGACCTCCGCATTTGACGTGAATTTTTTTCCAGCAAGCCATTTTTTCATATTCGGAAACAAAAAGAAGTCACTGGGAGTTAAATCTGGCGAGTACGGTGCGTGTGGTAACAATTCGAAACGCAATTCATGGAGCTTTGCAACTGCAATTGAAGACGTGTGAGCGGGTGCATTGTCGTGATGGAAAAGCACTTTTTTCTTTGCCAAATGAGGACGTTTGGTTTTAATAGCATCGTTCAATTGCTCCAGCAATGCTGCATAATATTCCCCATTGATGGTTTTGTCTTTTTCTAGATAATCTATGAACACCACACCTTGCGAATCCCAAAAAACAGTCGCCATGACTTTTCCGGCTGATGGAACTGTTTTTGCCTTCTTTGGAGCACTTCCACCCGCTTCCACCCATTGTTTTGATTGTTGTTTCGTCTCTGGCGTGTAATGGTGAATCCATGTTTCATCGACAGTGATAAATCGTCGCAGAAATTCGGTTGAATTGCGTTTAAACAAGTCCAAACACTCTTGAGAAATGTTCGTTCGAATGCGTTTCTAATCGACCGTTAACAAACGCGGCACCCATCGCGCTGAGAGCTTTCTCATATGCAAATGTTCATGTAAGATATTGTGAACACGATCTATTGAGATGTTTGCAATGTTAGAAAGCTCACGCACTTTTACTCGTCGATCATTTAACACGCTATCGTGGATTTTTTGAATGATTTCCTCATTCGTGGCGGTTTTCGGGCGACCCGAACGTTCATCGTCAAAGATGGATGAACGGCCACGTTTAAATTCAGCAGCCCATTTCTTCACTGTTGAAAATGATGGAGAAGAGTCTCCCAAAGTGGAATCCAGCTCGTTTTTTATTTCTGTTGCCGTTAATCCTTTTAAAACGAAATATTTTATGACTGCGCGATATTCAATTTTATCCATTTTTGGAGAAGTATCAAATCTTGTCTGTTTTACTCGAGCACAGTAAACAAACTAGCGAACGAATCTGTCTGAAACTGTGCGGTACGCCCTCTGAGGGATTAAACTTGAGAAAAATCATAGCCATTTGATATTCTTACAAGGAAAGGGTCGGAAGTGTCCCCCTCCGATTTTAATGAGCTTTGAATATGTTGTAGTCTAGATCAAAATAGGAGACACGTATTTTTTTATAAGTGCTGAGTCGGCCGTTAAGGGGGTGAAACACCTTCTTGAAAAAAATCGATTTTTTCATTTCTCAGCGGATACCGTCGAAGCGATAAGAGATATAAACAAAAGTTTCAAATAAAAGTTTTATGGTCTTTAATGTACTTCAAAATCATGTAATCAGATTTGTCGAAAATGTCATATTTTTCGAAATCCC